ATTGGCGGCACCTCCAGAAGGGCTGAGCGTCATGAGTAAGTAATTATTATTATTATTATTATTATTGTTATTATTATTATTATTAGAGGTATTGCCGAACGTAATTTAGGGAATCTCTGTTACATGACTCTAGTGTCACTCTTGCCTCACGCGCCCGTGATGTTGGTATTAACTAAATGGAGTCGAGTCCTCTTTGAGAAGCCAGCGGTCGCTTATTCCACTGATCCTTATCCTGACCCGGGTGAATCCAATTCACACCTCGCATCCGGGGCACGCTGTAGCATAATTCGTTGAGGCACTACGCTACAAGCCGGAATGTCGCGGGTTCGATTGTCGATGAGGTCATTCGATTTTCCAGTTGACCTAATCTCCCAGCCGCACTATGGCTCTGGGATCGACTCAGCCTATAACAGAAATGAGTACCAGGAATATACCTGGTGGTAAAGGGCGGCCGGCGCGTAATGGTGAAAACCTCACCGCCATCAGTGAGCCGATATTCTAAAAAATGTGGGAGCCTCAACGTCTCACAACCGTGTGGGTCTCAACATTCTGTTACAGGGATAGCTTTATCTTCTTACCCTACCTCCCATCTTCTATTACTAAGATTCATTTTACCGTCCTGCCATCTATTTTAAAGTCTTCCTAGTGGTCTCTTTCCTTCATGTATTCACGTATTCTGTACACATTCCTCTTCTCTTCCATGCGTTCTACATACTCCGCCCGTTTCATCCTCTTTGACGCGATCATTTTAATTATATTAGGCACAGGATGCAAGTCATGAAGCTCCGTATTAAATAGTTTTCTCCAGCGTCCTATTACCGTATTTACGCATGTATAGGCCGCGTGCGTGTATAGGCCGCAGCACAATTTTCAGACAAATTATAGAAAAAATAATTTTCTTGCGATATTATTTCAGGAGTAGAACACCCTGTGTTGCTAATTATGAATATAATTTTTTTTTTAAATGAAGTGTGATTTCGAATATTTCGAATATAAGCCGCACCCCAGTTTTCCTCTTGAATTTTTGGCAAAAAATGTGCGGCCTATACACGCGTAAATACGGTATTTCATCCCACTTCGTCCAGGTATTATTCTCAGCACCCCGTTCTCAAACATGCTCAGTGTAATGTTGCTGTCCCTGAGAGTAAGAGCTAAAGGTAAAATTATAATTGATGATTGGCCGAAGCTTATTTACTGTAACAAGTATAGATTTATTACATTTATGTTTCGAATGTTTTTGACACCGAAGGTCGCGGTCGAATATTTAGGGCTGGTGCTAACCCAGAAGGCGCCTGGTTTAACTCTTGGGGCCCGAGACAAGTTACCGCGACCGAGATCTTTAGTGGCTTTCCTGGGTCCTTCCAGACAAACGTCGAGATGGTACCGTACATTGGATCACAACCGCGTCCTTCCTTTTCCTTTCCAGTTCATTCACTAATCACCAAACCATTTGGCTCTTTAGTCAGAGCTACGTGTTCCTCCGGAACGCCGGTTTGCTTTCAATGGAATGTGTGCCGTTATATAACAGCTGTGAGAGCCCCAAATCCTACAGATTAGCCTTCTGTGCCAAGGGCTGGAAGCGTGGTGCAGTTAGGAGAGACTACTCATAACTTGCTTCCACTGCTGTTCCCTAGTGTTGTTAACTGCTTAAAAATCTTATATTGCTTTTTAATGTCTGGTTTAATTCGCACAGTTTATCTTCCATACATTAGCCTGCAAACGGGTTGTA